GGCTAAACATTGAGACACACTGATAATAATCAGTCATCAATTCATTGGGAGAGCTATAGTTTCCAGCACTGCAATTCTTCGGACTCCAGAACTGCTTTATGTGGTTCATTAGACAATAGCGTCTCTTGCTACTAGTTGGGTCAAGAGTCAAAACTGCAGTGTAATTGCAAGTCTCCAAACACAAGGCAATAGTTTTGCAGTCTTGGAAGGTGTTGTTCAAGGAGCAGGGGAGGGGGAACAGAAGGAAGAGATTATGTATGAGCAATTGAGTCCTACTGCGAGGGCAAAAAAAGTCACTGGAATTGGGACTAGACAAGATCTTGTAATGAAAAACAAAGGCCCTGTTAGCAGGCTGGTACATATACCTAAGAGGGCCGGAGGAGATGGGAGTGACGGGTGGGCAGAAGAAACTAAGCAGCTGGGGGGACATGGATTAAAGAAGGAAATTAAGTAATACAAAAAGCCTAAAATATTATTCTCACATCCTAAAACATCCCATAGCTGTTCAGTTCCTTTTATTTTTTAGCTAATTATGCATGTGGTGATACCAGTCAAAATGAGCCTGACCCTAAGTTAATCAAACTCTGTTACTGAAATTGTACTGGAGGGGGAAAAAAAAGACTTTAATAAAAAAATAAATAAAGAGCAAGTAGAAGTAAATAGCTCAGCTGTTATTATTAATAAATCAAGGCCTCTCTTTCTTTTGTTTGCCAGCACCCACAATATTTTATGGCTCTGCACACAGCTAACACACCATTTTATTACATTTCAGAGAGTGCATCCTCCTAAAATGATAATGTGTTAATAATCTATGCTGAGCTTTTTGGCAGGAACCAAAGAGCTCAAGCAACTTGAAATAACATCAGCAAAAAATTATTTATTCCCCATCCCTGGTTGCACAGAAAACAGAGGTTTTCTTGGCTCAGTTACATCTCAATAGATTTCTGGTTTCAATTAAAACTTTGAGTCTGAGAAGTAACAAGGAAAAAAAAAAGCCAAGAGGGGATAGGAGACACCTCCATTCCTGTGTGTTTCTCCTCTTTCTTTTTCCAATTTAAGAACAAAGATTCAAGTATGAGGATGTTGTTTGGACGACATATTTTTTCACCATTCTTCTCAGTTCAGTGCCAGTTCACTGCCGATCAGATTGGGGCTTTAGTAGGACCGAAGGCCAAGAAAACCTGTGAGTGGTTACCCAACAAGAGAGCCACTTTTACACTTCCATTTAAATACATTTTGTCTCCATCTCCATCATAAGATCCCAGTCACTTGTTTCTCCAGGTCGGTGGCATTCAAGCCTAAACTTATAAGCAAGAGGCAAGGATTTAGGGGGTAATATTTTTATAGGACCACCTAGGAGAGACCTTGGACAAGCCCATGGGCACTAGGTACTCTCCCTGCCCAGACCCAAAGCAGTAAAATCCACGCCTCTTGCATATTTCCTGGACTATCCAAGCTACAGCATCACTCCAGCCCTGCTCTAAGGACTGTTACAGCATGATTGTAGGCTACAGAAAGTCCTTTCTGGCTGCAGGGGCCGCTGAATCAATAATTGCTACCATTTGGGTGCATGCTATGAAACACAGGATTGGATTTGCCAGCAGTTCTTTACTCCTGAAATCCTCCTGTCAATATGAAAGGGATCAAATGACTTGCCCTGACAGCAGAGGTCTAGCAGGCTCAGCATTTTACTTGCCCAGAACATCCTTTTTCATTTGACAGATGGACATATAAGGCAACCCGCCGGACACCCCATGGCATATCAGAGCCTGCAGAACCGCGCTGCCCCAGCTGCCCAGGCTGGGGGCTGGTTCACTCCCAGCAGTTAATGAAACACCTCTCCTTGCAGCATGCGCGGGAGAAATCCTGTTTCCTCCAGCCTGTCCCCCTCTTGCATTTGTTTGCCACCTACTCCTCCCAGTGCTCAACTCGGATTACAGGATCACCAAGGACGGCAACAAGCCTGCCTCTCCCACCAGCCCAGAGGGACTGGAGTGGGGTTTTAGCAAAACTTTTTGCTTTTTTTTTCCCAGGTCTCTTCCTCCACCTCCCTGCACGCTCCCCCCAGCAGAGCCATCCACACACTGGCTTTCTCTCTCCCTCTCCTCCTGCCTGGCCCCGTGCTGGCTCCCCCAGGCAGCAGGCAGACAGCAGGGATCACGCACTCAAGTGTCACAGAAGCCAGGACAGCCCGGCCCTGCCACCCCGG